GAGAGAGAGAGAGAGAGAGAGAGAGAGAGAGAGAGAGAGAGAGAGAGAGAGAGAGAGAGTACAAGAGTTTTTGCTTTTGGAAATCTGAATAGAAAGGGTACATGTTGTGTTCAAATACAAGGTGTACGTTTTCTACTCGAGGAAATTCGCAGCCCTTAGGCTGCGGTATAGTGTGCTTCCGCGTCTGTGTCAAGGTGTCGCATTTTTGGCGGCGGGCGACAAGGACGCAAAGTGGGTTCTTAGGGGGCAAAAAAAATTGGGGGACCGGTCCTTGGCAAAACTGCGGACTACCTACAGCTAGCTCTGCTAGAACCGGGACTTTTGGAAAAAGGAAGGACCGGTCCTCGGGTGGAAGTGGACCCCAAAAAGAAGTGGGGGGCGTTGGACCGGTCCCCGGGTAGAAGGGGACCCCAAAAAGAAGTGAGGGCATGTGAACTGCAAAAGGGCCCTCAGGCCCAGGCATTGAGCCCCGTTTTCTCAAACCAGGTAGGTCAGGCGCAACGAAACAGGCGTTTTGCAAGAGGCAACTTTGGCGATTTTCTGTGCTCGGAGGAACCTGCAGAAAAATCTGAAATTTTGAAAATCCATAGATGAGGTCGTGTTCTTTATAGGAAAAATATTAGAATATTTAAAAAAAAAATCATTTAGACCGAAAAATCATCGTCGCGCTAATTCGGCACATTTTCCATTTTTGCCACTCAACTATGTGTGGGCCAACTTAAAAAGTACTCCAAATTCAGTGAGTTTTCACTCTCAAAAGAATAAGTGAAGAAACCTGAAAATTGGAGTACTTGTAGATTTTGTTGTGATCTTTCCATGAAAAATGCTAAATAACTTAAAAAAAATCATTCCAACTATGAAATAGGCCGCGGCCTCAATTTGACCCATATTTCAATTTTGTCATTCAGCCTTTCTCTCTCTCTGGTAGGCCCCCGCATCCCTCTCTCTCTCTCTCTCTCTCTCTTTCTTTCTCTCTCTCTCTGTCTCTCTCTCTCTCACTCGTATCAACAAATGGAACAAAACTCTCTTTTCTCTCTCTCTCTCTCTCTCTCTCTCTCTCTCTCTCTCTCTCTCTCTCTCTCTCTCTCTCKYTCTCTCTCTCTCTCTCTCGTGTTACCTCTTAGTCTCATTGATTTGGCTACCTTAGGGCTGCGTTCCCCGCGCCCACGCGATAGACAATCTGCTATTTGAGAAGAGTGTACCTGCACCATTTCAATTTTCGAAAAAGGACCGCGGCCTCCTCGGCCTCCTACGGGGAGCTACCGGTCCTTCGCGTTCCTGGCCCTTGAAAGCCCCAAAACCTGAGAATGCCCACCCTCCGGACGACCACCGACATTGAAATCTGAGTGACGTTGTTGAAAATCTCAGGGGGGGAAAACGCAACCCTGACGGGCTGCAAACAGCAGGTGGGCGATACCGGCCAGGGGTCAGCCGGTAGCATCAGGACCGAGCTTCTTCGATGGGCCAGTCACTGTGCCTCCCCTCGGGGGCAAGGTCCCACTTGCACGGATTAGGAGATTTTTCGGCCGTTGATCTCGGCTATCTACGGTCTCTATCTCTTAATTCGTGCAAGTGGGACCTAGCCCCCGGTCCCCTCCCCCTGTGAGCATCAGCAGTCTCTGCTGTCGTTCCGCTCCCTGGCCGCTCTTATATTTTCTTCGTTTTGCTGCGCCTGCATACAAGCTCCGCTCTATATTCCCGATTGCTTCCTCTGTTTTCTGTCTGTCTTGTCTACCGTCTTTGCCGTTTTGCGCCCTTCACCCTGCCTTCCCCTTGGGCTGCGACGGCGAGACCAGGCCGCCAAACAGCCACAAAGCCAAATAGCCCCGGCTATAGGCTGGGGGAAATCGTCTGCCCCTTTCCCAGTGCAGGAAAGAGAGACGTGCGTTGGGGCTTCCGATGTGAAACTTCCCGCGTGCCCTGCTGACTCTGCCTATGTGCGGGTGTGCGGGCCTGTGTGACGTATATTGTTCGGTTTTCACAGTGTGCGGTGTGACCTGTTGAGTGTACATCTGCTGGTGCGACGCTGTACAGCCTCGAGTTCTAGCGAAGAGGTCACAGGCTTTTGAACATTGCAGACGTGAACGCTTGCTGAGAACGTGGTAAGTCGATTTCCCATCTTGTTAACGGTCTTCCTTCACCTGCACTTCGCACCTTTTTCGTGCGTTTGCGTTCGTGATCGGTCTTGTTCGCTTTTGTTTCTTTTTGGTATGTGTATGTGTGCGTTGGAGCCTGTGTTGTTGTCATGTTCGCTATACACAATTCCACAAAACAAAAGAATGGCTGTGCCAGACTGATCCGTCGGACTTTTACCTACTCATCAGGAGGTTGAACCCGTCGTGTGTATGCGCGTGCGTGGGTGCGTGTGCTTGCGTGTCTGGGTTTGGGAGGGGGGGAGAGAGAGAGAGAGAGAGAGAGAGAGAGAGAGAGAGAGAGAGAGAGAGTACAAGAGTTTTTGCTTTTGGAAATCTGAATAGAAAGGGTACATGTTGTGTTCAAATACAAGGTGTACGTTTTCTACTCGAGGAAATTCGCAGCCCTTAGGCTGCGGTATAGTGTGCTTCCGCGTCTGTGTCAAGGTGTCGCATTTTTGGCGGCG